TTTGCTATTTATGGGAAGTTGTCATTTATTTAAGGTTATGCTTTTAATCTTGTGATGTATTTGTTTTATAATATTAATTTTTGATCAGCCTTCAGAATTCTACCCTTAAACATAATCACATTGAATGGGAAGCAAGCAGAGTCAGTCACAGAGGGGCTAACAGTGGTGTATTAAATGGAGACACATGCCTAATAGATCCTCCTTCTCTGTCGCTCTCTCTTTCTCTTTAACGACTTATAACAGAGCATCCTTTTGTTAAATTGTCCAATGAAGAAAATGTTGCAATGTCCTGATAGAATTTAAACAGTGAGTGTGGAAGTGATATATTTCCAAGGACAGCTAATTTGTAGGGCCTCCTTATCATTAAGTAGTATCCTGTTGTTCTTTATAACTTTTCCCATTGTAGTCTGGGGATAATGACTTGTTGCCTGTTGAACAGCAATTTGAGGCTAATGCTAACAATTGAAAAAATGCTTAATGAGATGTTGTGTAGATTAGCTTTATGTTAGAGTAGCCAAATAATAAGGAAATAGAAGCTACTTGGTGACTCACAGCTGTTATTCAGAGCTAGACCAGGGTTTCTCAAACCAGGTGCCATTGATATTTTGGGCCGAATAATTCTCTGTTATGGGGGGCTGTCCTGTGCATTGTACAATATTGAGCAGTACCCCTGGCCTCTACGCCCTAGATGCTAGTAACCCCATGTCCCCCAATTAGTGACCACCCAAAATGTCCACAGACATGCTGCATGAACCGTGGGGACCAAAAATGTCTCCCAGTTGAGAACCGCTGAGCTAGACCCATGAAGCAGTTGCCTGATGGTATTAATTCCTGTGGTGTTGTAGACAGCTTTCTTGTCTGTGCTTGCCTGTTTTAAATAGGATCAGGCATCTCACTGATGGCCAGCGGGAACTTTGTGAGGCTTGTGCCAGTCAGCTGACGGCTGCTGACTTCAAAATGTGCTCCAGGATTGGAGAAGCTGAGTGCTGCAAACTCTCCAATGGAGTTTCAGTTTCTTTGTGGCCTTCGTTAGATTTTTATGGCTTCTCTCAAGTTGTGCGTGCACTTTGGGGAAGCTTTTTTTTTTTTTTTTAGCATTTCTAGGTAAGTTTTAAAAAGTTTATGTCAGGCAGAAACTAAGGTTAAGGTATGTCTATAACCAGAAGCAATTAAAAAAAAAAAAGCAAACAGAAAAGGCTCAGCCAGCAAAGTGGCAAGACTGCTGTACAAACTTGTTGATATTTGGAAGTAAACACTGTTTCCACATCCCCAGGGCCAAGTACAGTGCCTGGAATTCAATAGGGGCCAGTAAGTACCAAACGAACTTGACGTTTCTGTTTTCTAATTTAGGCATAGATATGGCAGAATGGTTGTTCCAGCACAAGGTCTTTCGAGGATTATTAATCATTCATAATCAAAACTTTGATTTTCAGAATAAATATGTAAAATGCACACAAGTGTGATACTCAAATACAAATACAGAAAGCAGGTATTGAAGTCTTAAGGGATAAATTGTCAGTGGAAAATATTCCAAGTGCACCTATTTCTTACAGCTTGGTTCACTATGGCTTGGAACAAACTCAACTCTAAAGATGTAGAGTGGAAACACCCGCCTCTTTTCCCCTTAACTTGAGAAGGCACCTTGGTGTTGGTGGTTACCTGGAGTTGTTCAAATAGCTTTTAAAGCCAGAAGTAGAGTTCCCAAGCCTGTATTTCTGTTTTGTAGTAAATTTTTTGTTCATGATCTATTGGCATTTCTTGTTAGAAAAAAATTGAGACATTGTTATTGTTAGTAGTCACTCCCCTCTTTCCCAGCCAAAACCATCTCTCTGTGTAAAAGGACTTCCTGGTCCCACCAAATCATTAAGGCAATGCCTTTGGTGATTATAAAATCATGTCAGAAAATTGTCTGGGTCCTTTCTCCCTTTTCTTTTGATGGAGTTATAAGCCTTATGTTTTCTCTATAGTCCTATAGGATTTCTACTGGCACATACTCATTGTTTTGTCCCTGCCGTGTTGGGGGCAGCAAAGCCGGGGGCGAG